GGGGGCCAGGGGCTGGGGACTGACCCCCGCAACCCCCAATAGGGGAGTACAACTGGGTGAGTACAGAGGCGGGGCCAGGAGCTGGAAATTGACCCCCTGCAACCTCAACTAGATGAGTACCCCAACACAGCACACACACACACACACACACACACACACACACACCACACCCCCACACAGGTGGACAAAGACAGGATGTTCCAGAATTGGGACACAGTAAAAAGGGGGGCCCACGTTAAAAATTTGAAGACACAGCTGAATAAACAGGGATGTTAGGAATTATTTTTTCCTCACATGTAGTCGGGAAAAGGGGGGAATAGTTTGGGAAGAAAAAGTTAGTGGAGGCGGGAATCCATACATAGTTTAAGCGAGGTATGAAAAAGGCTCATGGTACGGGGGGAGGGGCCTAGTGGGCGACCAGTGAAGGGGCAGGGCCAGGAGTTTTGGACTTGCCCCCGGGAAACCCCAAATTTAGAGGGAGTACACACACACACCACATGCACACACACACCCCACACACACCTCAAACACACAAAACCCCCAAACACACACAACACACCTCCTTCCCCCTACCTCCCACTAACTTCAGACTCACTTTTTTTGCATATATTGATAAGGTAAAAACTTAAGTTGGTTTGGCTTTCAAACGTTAGTAAAATTTGGGGAACCCTTTAAGGGAGAAAGTATTTAAAACTAAAATGCTAAAACCAAAAAAACACTAAAGTTAAAGAAACATGAAAAACTTTTTTTGGGCCTGATATGGAAAAATTTTTTACTGGTGTGGCTTAAAAGATCAACTAATCAAAACGTGCCTTTATGGTAAGTAATGGGGGGGTTTTGTATTGCATTTTACTTTATTTTTTTTTAGGACTAGTTTTTGATTAACTTTATATATGATAATGTAAATATGTTGTCAGGCATTTATTGGGATTTAAAATAAAAAAAAAAAGGGGGGGAAATTTGCTTTATTTGGGGAATTTTTTCTTTTTAAAAACGGTAGCCTTTGGAAAACCCAAACCCCCCATTAAGTGGGGCCTTTTCTGTACTTGCTCTGGTCAGGGGCACTTGGGGGATCACTTTTCAGATGAATATTCTAAAAAGAGTTTGTTTCCATTTTGTCCTAAAGGGACATGTCGATTAGACACTTGGCCTTTGTAATTTTATAGTGTGTGTGGTGTGTGTGTGTGGGTGTGTGTGGTTTTGTGGGGTTTTTGCATTTTGCGTGTGTGTGTGGGGTTTTTGTGTTAGTTACCATTTGGTCCTTTGGCAATGTCGATTTTAAAACTAGGGGCCCGTTGTATGTGCATGGTGTGTGGGGTGTGTGTTTGTTTTCCCTTTTGTCCTAGGCACAGTCGATTAACACTTAAAGGGCCCGTTGTATATTTAACGTTGTGTGTGGTGTGTTAGTTACCCTTTTTGTATTAGGCACATGTCAAATTTGGGCACTAGGGGGTGTTGTATTGAGTACGTTTGTGTGTGTGTGTGTGCGTGCGTGTGCGTGTGTGTGGGCAGTGTGTGTTTTGCGTTGGGGTTTTGTCTGTGTTACCCCTTTTGGGCCCAGGCAAAATGTCGATTTTAAAACTAGGGGGGCCGTTGTATAGGTACGTGTGTGTGTGGGGTGGTTTTGTTGGGGTGTGCGTGTTGTGGTTTTGTTACCATTTTTTCCCAGGCACATGTTGATTAGAACTAGGCCTGTTGTATATGGAAATTTCGTGTGTGTGTGTGTTAGTTAAACCCTTTTGTCCTAGGGCCCCATGTCGATTAGACCCCTGGGCCCGTTGTATATGAGTACGTTTGTGTGGGTGTGCGTGGTGTGTGTTGCGTGGGTGCCGTGTGTGCGGGGGTGTGTGGCGTGTGTGTGTGGGGTGTGGTGTGTGGGTTTTTTGGGGGGGGGGTGTGTTTTGCGTGTGTGTGGGGCGGGGCGCGCGTGTGCGTGTGTGCGTGTGGGGGTGTGTTTTGTGTTTTGTGTGGTGTGTATGTGGTGTGGGGTGTGTGGGTTTTGTGTGTGTGTGTGTGGGTTTGTGTGTTTGTGTACTTTAACTATTTTTTGGGTTGCAGGGGGTCGAGTCCTAAACCCTTTCCCGGCCCCGGGCCCCTTCCCCGGTTTTCTACTAGACCCCCCCCCCTCTCTCCCCGCTCCCCTGAGCTTTATCAAACCTCGTTTTTAAAACTGTGTATGGTTTTCCCGGGCCCCCCACGGGCATTTTCTGGCTTATTCCACTGCCTTACAATCTATGCTGAAGAAATACTTCCTTAAATATCTCTCTGACTAATTTTTGTCTTCAACTTCCCAAATTTTGGCCTTTTTGGGTTTTTGTGTCCCCCCCTTGGAAACATCCCGTCCTTTTCCACCTTGTCTATTCCACACAGTATTTTATATGTCGTTTCATGTTTTTTTCCCCCGACCCTCCTGGCCCCCAGTGTCGTCAGGGCCCATTTCCCCTTTAAAAATTTTTTCATAGGACATTCCCCTTAGGCCCGGAAAATAACCCTTTTTGGGAAACCCTTTTTACTTTTTCTAGTTTCTTGAAGTCTTTTTCAAGTGGGGGGTTCCCCAAAAAGGGGCTGCATACTCCAGATGGGCCTTACATACCGGTTGACAGTGTCTTGAAAAGATTCCTTATAAGGGGTTTCGGAATGCTTTTTTCAGGTTTGGGCCCGGGCGGGCCCCTAGCGGGAAAATTATTTATTGATGTGTGGGTTCCCCGGGGGACATGGGTCGGTGTTAACTCACCCCAAATCTTTCTCCTTGAGTGAGGTTTTTTTTTCAGTCTTTGGGGCCCCCTAGCCCAACTTGGCGTGGTCTTCTGTGGGGGCCCTTCCCCTACTTCATGACTTTGGGATTTGGGGGATTAAAATTTGAGAACCCCTTTGGGGTGGACAGGGGGTCCAGTCTGTCCAGGGCCCTTTTTAAGTCCTGCCTGGGCCTCATCAGATTTAAATTTTCCTCATTAACTTTAATCATCTGCCCAAAAGGGACACTTTTAGTCTAACCCTTTGTCATGGGGCGTTCACATATACCCAAAAAAAAGCACTGGTCCAGGGGCCGACCCCCGTGGGACCCCCCCCCCGTCACAGGTGCCCCCCTGTGTTTCATCATTACGTTTCCGGGCTCGTTGTTGGCCCCCCCGGGCAGGTATTCCTGATCCATTGCAGTGGGCCCCCCCCGTTATTGCGCCCGATGCCTAGCTTCTGCATAATCTCTTGTGAGGGAACCCGTGTAAAGGGCCTTTTTGGGGAAGGGCCAAGAAGAGGGGGAAACAAAACCCCCCCCTCTCTTCTTGTCTTTTCTTTTTTTTATTTTAAACGTAAAACTCCGAAGGTTTGTTTACACAGGGTTTTTCCTTCCGTGAATCCGTGTGGTTGGCATTTATACTCCCGTTCCCCTTCCCGGTGCCCCCAAACCCCCTCTCCCCTGATAATTTCTCCAAAAATTTTTCATACTAATTTCACGTCAAACACAGGGGCTATAGTTTAGTGGGGCCCCTTTTCTGTCTCCTTTTTTTGGGAAAAAGGGAACTACATTTGCCGTTTCCATACCTCAAGGGAGTTGGCCCCCTTTTTTCCGGGATGTGTTGAAGATTGTGGGAAGTGGGACGCACCCAAAATATGTTTTTCTCCCCCCTCTTTAAGGACCCCCCTGGAGAGATGTTTTTCCGGGGCCCATTGGGGCCTTTTAGGTATCGGGTGTCCCTTAGCAGTTTCTTTCCCCCCCTCCTATTTTGTATGATTTGTCCAAAACCCTTTTTGGGGGAAATTTCCCTTTTTGGGGTCCCCATTGGTCTGTTCCCCCCCCCGAGTCCTTCCTGTCTCTACCGTAAATACTTCCTTAAAACTGTGTTTAGGGGTCCTCACATACCCCTTGATCGTTTCTTGTGAGTTCTCCACCCTTTTTTCCTCAGCCTTAACCTGGGCCTTGTTTTTGTCTTCCTCCTAATTTGGCTTAAAAACAGGGGGTTCGGGTCAGATTTACTTTTGAGCTATTTTGTTTTTTATACTGTCGCTGGGCCTCCCTCCTTATCTCGCATCCCCGTTTTTTTGGGGTCTTCTACTAATCTCCTTGTTTTCCCCCGGGGGCCATGCCTCCTGTACCTTTTTTTCCCTTGGCTGTTGCACTTAGTTTTTTTCCTCCCCCCACACCTTGGGTAAACCAAGGGCTCGTTTTTGGGCTTTTCCAAATTTTTTTCTGTTTCCCTTGGGAACAAAACTTTCCTCCCCCGCCTCCTTGCACTTTGTTGCCACATATTCCCATCATCTCTTTTTCTGAAATTTTCCCACCATTTTTTGTTTCCCCCCCGAAAACCCCCTTTCAAAGGGAAATTTTTTTCATACCTGTGGGAGTCCCCCCCTTTTTTGTTTGGCCTGTCCCCTTTTAGTTCCTGTTACCTTCTCCACTTGTAACTCAACTATATAGTCAAAACTCAGAACCTACATGATCGCAGCTCCAAGGGGCCTCTCGTAAGTTGATGTCCTCATGTCTGAACTGCTCAAGGGTGAACACAAGATCCAGTCTTGCTGGCTCATCCTCCCTCTCTCTCTGTCTGTTTCCCTGACATGTTATCGCATGAAAGGTTATTCAAGTACCACATCCATCATCTGCTCACCATGTTTCGAGGGACTCCCCATGTATGTGTGTGTGTGTGGGTGTGTGGTGGGTGGTGTGTGTGTGAGTGTGTGTGTGTGTGTGTGTGTGTGTGTGTGTGTGTGCATGTGTGCGGTGGTGTGTGGTGTGTGTGTGTTTGTGTTGTGTGTGTGGTGTGTGTGTGTGTGTGTGTGTGTGTGTGGTGAGAGAGTGCGTGAGTGAGTGCAATCTGCAAAAGGTGTCTAGTATGGATCTTAGGAACTACAGCATGCTGTTTTACTTACCTAGTAATGAAAATTAATTTTTTTAAATTGTTGGTTCACAGTAAGCATTGTGTAGTAGTAGTCAGATATTGAGATTTATAAACTTTTATTTTTTCCACTATAATGTATTGTAGAATTTTAAAATTGTCCTACAGGCCATTGATTTGGGCAGTGTGTTCGAATCCTGGCAAATATCCTGATCCTGAGTTACGAACAGCAGCAACTCTAGCTCTGGCAAAATTTATGATGGTTTCTTCTGATATCTGTGAAGAAAATTTGCAGGTGGGCAATTGAACCTTTGTTTTCAACTGTTTTCTTTATATTTATTTTATGAGAAATCAATTACTCTAAAATAAATATTTGCTGCATAATAAAGAATATATTTATGAAATGAGATGAATATTGTCTGTAAGGGAAAAGAAAGATATTGTAATGATTGCTTGAGAATATTAGCAAACAAAGTATAAATTGGTTTCTTGAAGACTTAGTTTTTTAATCATATTTTTGGTTATTGATCATTAACCCTTCGAGGGTCGACAGGCCCTCTCCGAGACTCGTTCTCAGGGTCGGCCAAATTTAAAAAAAAAAAATTCTTAGGAAAAGATAGAGAATCTTTTCCCGATCATAATGACACCAAAGGTATGAAATTTGATGGAAAGCTTATGGGGTATGCCTCTCGGAAGTTACCGGACTCCCTCGGCGATGTTTACGCCTTGGGAGTTATGCCCACTTTGAGCCCCAATTTTTGGCCAACTTCCCTGGTACTAGTCGACAAAAACATGAATATTCGCTAGAACTCCATTTTTTTCTACGAATAGTGCAAGAAACCACCCATTTTACCAATTTTCAACTATCCAGTACAGTGGTCCAATTTAGAGCAATTTTGCCAGTTTACACACAAATTTCAAAGAATGCCAATTTTCCGAATAGGGTCCAGAATAAACAAGAAAGACATTCCTGCACTAAAATGACATTTCCTCCTCTGTTTCCATTAGTCACTTCTCAGGGCCCCCCTACAATCTTTTGCTTTCCACTTGAATTTTTAAATTCTCACAAAAAATGAAGATTTACTGTTATTATGCATACTAATGCTTAGTGTAAAAAATGTGTTAAATAATATTGGTGCACTTGCAAAAGAATATTAGATTCACCCAGTTGATGTGTATTGGACCTTGGCATGATTTGTTTACTTTGAACTTTGTAAAAATGTAACATTTCTGCTACCATGACTCAATTTCAATGTACTTTTTCATTGTAAAACCAGTCAAAAATCATCTCAATTTCTGTAATCTGTCTTCCATTCCATAAAATGAGACCAAGAAAACTAGAATATAACATAAATACCATAGCCGAAAATACAGTGCAAATCGCTGTTTTATTTCCAAAAAAATGGTCAAAGGTTTTTTTTTTTTTCTCATTATGCACTGTGTGCTGGCAGATTTCTTTATACTGTGCACACGACCACATAGACCCATTCTTTCATATGTAAGGTAGCCAACCAGCTTTCTCGCACTAGATATTTGAGGGTGCTATAATTTTAGCGTACTTGTACGTCAAAAAAAAAACCCTGGATCCGTAAGCCGTAATATACGGCCAATAAAAAAAAAGAAACCCCCAAAGGTTAAAAAAAATAACTGTGCAAGTGATGAACTTTAGTCCTCCCTTGCGATAAGGTTTATTCATTATGTAAAGTAATATAAAAATCAAGTAAATTGTATTAAATATTACCTTTCTGCATTTGTTTCCACTTGAATTTATTTTTTTAATTGTTTGTAAGTTTGTCTATTTACTTGCTTAAAAGACTCATACTGTGCTGATTCTTGCACTGACTGGTATTTGTTCCCACCTCTCTCGATTCCTGCAAATCCTTATTTGCATGACCTACATTGACACTCTGTTAAAACAAGAATTGAATTTAAACTCCTGTTAACATTTAAAGCTATTAAGTTTAGTGAACTCAAGTACCTTGCTTATGTTCTTGTAACCATTTGCATGGGGCACCAGGAATGTTTTGTGAAATGCTGTGATAGGCTTGATACTGCAGGAAGAAATCATTTCTAGAAACAGCCTTCTCTGATGTAGCTCCCAGACTATATAATAGGTTACCAGTGTCTCAAGAGTCAAGTATTTGTTCATGCTTTTAAATACAAGTTAAAAGCGCATTTTTTTTCTAGAGCTTACTATCCTGATGATCGTATTAAATTTATGGTTTAGTGCGTAGACACTTGTTCTGATTTCATCCATGACAAAAAATTATCCTTGTCTAACCTGTTTATGCCCCAGAGTATTTTAAATGTCTTGCTCATATTTTCTTGTTTCTCTAGTCACAAAATCCTCTCATTTTCATGTTATTTTCTGTCTTGCTGTTTTACATGAATCACTACAAAGACCAACAACTCTTTGTCAGTTTTATAAGTTTTTCCTCAAGAAATGCTTTGTTGTAGCAATTTAACAATTTAATGTACAGTATGAGTAAATACAAATTTTACTTTGCAGCTGATATTTACTATTTTGGAGAAGTCAAAAGAAGCTGTGATTCGTGGCAACACAGTAATTGCTCTAGGAGATCTCTCCTTCAGGTTCCCCAATCAGTTAGAACCATGGATCCCACGCCTCTATGCCAGGTACAGTACATATGATTTACTAGTCAAACAGCAGTTCTCTCCATTTTAGTGGCAGCTTCCTAATCTAACCAATGTTCACCTGACTTTATACAAGAGAATTGTTTTAAAATCATATTTTTCTTTTTCTGCTGCCAGTCTTCCTTTCTAGGATGCTGTGTTTTTACTAATTGCACTTTTTTTTTTATTTCAGAGATATTGTTGTTTTCTTTCCTTATTTTTCAATGAATCCTTTCTCTAGCTAGCAGAGATATGAGGCTTTTTTTTTTTTTTTGTGAGGCTGTTTTTAATTATTAATACAAAATCACTATTTCCTAGTGAATACCAGGTACTGATTTGATTTCACTTGACAGATTAAGAGATGATTCCCCAAAAGTTCGTCAAAATACTCTAACCATCCTTACGCATCTTGTGCTGAATGACATGGTTAAAGTGAAGGGCCTAATTTCTGACATTGCTCTCTGCATTAATGATGAGGACCCTCGAATCTCAGGTATGCAGAATTTTAAAATTCATTAATGCGAACTTTGTATTTAACTTCTTATTCACTTCCTGCCAATATAAATGCTGTGAAGGCCAGAAGAGCTGTGAATAATGAGAACTTTCATAAAAGAGGAATAATGCTAATGGTGGGGGAAACCCCAACTTAATTCAAATTACTTGTTCTCTCGCCCTTAGATTATTGCTTGGTATTAACCCTTTGACTGTCGCAACCCCTAATCCTGAGGTGTCTCCTGGTGTCGCAAAAATTAAAAAAAAAAATTATTTTTTTTCTTATGAAATGATAGAGAATCTTTTTCCGATTGTAATGACACCAATAAAAAAAACGAAATTTGATGAAAACAGACGAATTATTGCTCTCGCGAATTTAGCGACCTCGGCGCTGTTTTACAAAATCGGGCGATTCGCCCACTTGAGCCCTATTTTTCGCTAATTCGCATTGTTCCAGTTGCCCAAACTCATAGCTATTTCTTTAGAAACTTCCATGTTTTTCGTAATCGATTGAAATACAAGAAACTTCCCATTTTAACCGATTTCAACTACCTAATAATGTAACAGAAATTTGCAATTTGGCCATTTCACGAAAACTAAAAAATATGACAATTCAAAATAAAGGTCCTGAATGAACAATGCAGACATTCCTGGCACTAAAAAACATTTTCTTTGCTCATTCAGTCATGTCTCCAGGCCCCACTGATAATACTTCTTGCCTTTCTATTTAGATTTTTATTCAACACAAAAAATAGAAGACTTACTATTATGCAGACTACAGCACTAACTGTAATAATATTGTATAAATACATCACCCATTCAAGACTGGCATATCAGAATGGCTAGTTGGACATTTAATGGAAAATTGGGGCAAATCAAATTTGTTTACTTTGAATGAACATTGGCAAAAATCAACATTTTCCCAACATTTGAGCTCCATTTCTAGGTTCTTTTTATAGTAAAATCAATCAAAATCACCTCTATTTCATAATATTTTTCCATACTATCAAATGAGACCAGAAACGAGAATACAACCAGAAATACTATACGAAAATATGACCGCAACGTCGTCAATTTAATTAACACAAACGGTTGATTTTTTATTTTTTTTTTTTCCTCATGCACTGCTGCTACCAGGATTTTTTTATATGGTGCACACTGACCACACAGACCCATTCTCTCACATGTGGGCCTACCAGCTTTCTCTTGCTTGATTTGAAGGCGCTAGAATTTATGAGTATATATACGTCAAACACAGTACACCGTACGACTATATAAAATACGGCCGCGGACAGTCCCAAACGTTAATGGCACAAGCCTCAAGGCAGGAGAGATTTCATAGCTAGAAAAGATATATAGATTGTTTACTATTCTATTATCTATTATCACACTGGCCGATTCCCACCAAGGCAGGGTGGCCCGAAAAAGAGAAAACTTTCAAACCATCATTCACTCCCCATCACTGTCTTGCCAGAAGGGTGCTTTAACAGCGTACAGTTTTTAAACTGCAACATTAACCCCCCTCCTTCATAGTGCAGGCCTGTACTTCCCATCTCCAGACTCAAGTCCGGCCTTCGGTTTCCTGAATCCCCTTCATAAATGTTACTTTGCATCACACACAACAGCACGTCAAGAATTAAAAAACCATTGTCTCCCTTCACTCCTATCAAACCCGCTCACTAGCATGCCTGCTGGAAGTCAAGCCGAGCCGCTCGCACACAAAACCTCCTTACCCCCTCCTCCAACCTTCCTAGGCCGACCCCTACCCCGCCTTCTTCCCCTACATGACTGTACACTCTTGAAGTCATTCTGTTTCCTCCATCTCTCTACATGTCCGAACCCACCTCAACAACCCTAACCTCAGCCTCTGGACAACAGTTTTGGTAATCCCCCCCTCCTCCTAATTCCAACCTACAATTCTCTGCATTATATTCACACCACAACATTGGCCTCAGACATGACATCTCTACTGCCTCCACCTCCTCCTCGCTGCAACATTCATCACCCACGCTTCACACCCATATAAGAGCGTTGGTAAAACTATACTCTCATACTCCCCTCACTGCCTCCAAGGACAAAGTTCTTTGGTCTCCACAGACTCCTAAGTGCAACTAACTCACTCTTTTTCTTTCTCTCATCAATTCTATGATTCTCCTCATCTTTCATAACCCTCCGCTCGACGAACGTCCACTCCCACAATACTGAATACGTTCACCTCCTCCATACTCCCTTCCCTCCAATCTGAATCCCATCTTCATCACCTAATCTTTTTGTTTTCCTCATAACCTTACCTTTCCTGTATTCACCTTTACTTTTTCTTCTTTTGTGCACACCCTTCCAAATCCATCCACCAAGCTTGGCCAACTACTTCTCTTCAGAATCTCCCAAGAGCACAGTGTCACTTCAGCAAAGAGCACGGTGACAACCCCCTTTGATTGTGTATTCATATCATTTTAACCTCCACGCCTCTTGCCAACCCTCTGCCTTTACTTCTCATAACAACCACCAACAATAAATATATTTAAACACAACCACGGTGACATCACACATCCTTGTATAAGGCCTACTTTTACTGGGAAAAAATTCCCATCTTTCCTACATACACTAACTTTGCGGCCTCCACTATCCTCGTAAAAACACTTCACTGCTTTCAGTAACCAACCTCCTACACATCACATCAACATCTGCCCACATTCCCCCCTATCCACCTGTCATATGCCTTTTCCAAATCCAAAATGCCACAAAGACCACATTAGCCTTTCTAAATACTGTTCACTATATGTTTCACTGTAAACACCTGTCCCCCACCCCCTACCTTAACCTAAAGCCTCCTTTTCATCTGCTATCCTATCTCCGTCTTACTCTTAATTCTTTCAATTATAACTCTACCATACACTTTACCAGGTATACTCAACAGACTTATCCCCCTATAATTTTTGCACTCTCTTTTATCCCCTTTGCCTTTATACAAAGGAACTATGCTAGCATAAAACTGATAAAGCACTAAGCTACTGTAAATATCTCAAAGCATATATAATTTGTACTTTGGAGTGAGAAGAGATACCTGAATAGCATGTATACATGGAAGTCTAAAGGGCCTAGTGCCAAATCTACACATTACCATAACATACTAGAGTAAGAGGTATGATAGGAAATACAAAATAGACCCAGTAGAAAGCAGGGGTTCCATAGGCACAATAAGAGAATAATGTCAAAATTCATGGCTCAGACTATTTGATCTGTTTTTCTTTTTTCTTTTTTTTTTCAACAAGTTGGCCATCTCCCACCAAGGCAGGGTGACCCAAAAAGAGAGAAAATCCCCAAAAAGAAAATACTTTCATCATCATTCAACAATTTCACTTCACTTGTACATAATCACTCTCTTTGCAGAGGCGCTGAGATACAATAGTTTAGAAGTCCCTCCGAACTGTCAATATCCCAGACCCCTCCTTTAAAGTGCAGGCATTGTACTTCCCACTTCCAGGACTCAAGTCCAGCTAAATCTATAACAACCGGTTTCCCTGAATCCCTTCACTAAATATTACCCTGTTCACCCTTCAACAGTGCGTCAAGTCCCAAAAACCATTTGTTGCCATTTACTCCTATCTGACACGCTCACACACACTTGCTGGAAGTCCAAGCCCCTCGCCCACAAACCCTCCTTTACCCCCTCCCTCCAACCTTTTTGAGGATGACCCCTACCCCTCCTTCCTTCCCCTGCAGATTTTAAACTCTCTCCCAAATCATCTACTTTTGATTCCAATTTCTCTAAAAAATACCAAGCCACCTCACAACAACTCCTCTCAGGAGCCTCTGACTAAACTTTTACAAAGTAACTCCAACGCCCTCTCCTCATTTCCACACTTCCGAAAAAAACTTTCTCTGCATAATATTTACACCACACATTGCCCCTTAGACAGGACATTTCCACTGCCTCTAGCTGCCGTCCTCACTGCAGCATTTACAAACCCAAGCTTCACACCCATATAAGAGTGGTGGTAACCACTGTACTTTTTCATACATTTCCTTCTTTGCCTCCATAGATAATGTTTTTGTCTTCCAAACATACCTCGACAAAAACCACTCACCTTTTTTCATTCATCCAATTCTGTGGTTGTATAAAGTTTAGAATTACCGACAATATGTAAAGTAAAAGGCCACAAGTGAACTAATGCGACATTTATTTTGGCAACTTTTCGCTTCCAGGAGCTTTATCAACCATTAAAAACAATCAGGGACACAGAGGGTATAAAAAAGGCTCGGTGAGGTGAAAATACTTGAGGTACCATTTCGATGTTCACTAGTGGTGGTGGTGTAGTAGAGTATATTTTAACAAAAATAATAAAATAGGAAGAGCAATTAATTTGTAAAGAGTAAAAAGGACTAAAAAAATTACTTGGGTAACAAAAAAAATAGGTTGGAAAAAATATAGACTAAAAAAGAGGGGGGGTTTTTTTTCGTGTTCATCTCTGTAATGTGCTTGTGTGTATAACAGGAGAGACTATGTATGGCAGGTTTTATGTTTTGGGAGGATTCTGAAAGACTTGGGAGATGGGAAGCTGCCTTTTGTTTTGTTTAATTGTATTCGAAACACGTCAGTGCTGAATCAAGGCACTTGGTCTGGGGAAATTGTTTCTTTGACACTAATTGGGCGTCTCTGAATTTTCATAGATTTTGGGGGGAATTTCGGTGTTGTACACAGGCATTGTTTAAGTTTCTTTCCCTACGTCGTAAATGTGTTCATTGAGGCGGGTGTAGGGGGTTTCTTGCTTTTTCCCCTACGAGATTTGTCACAGCCTCCCAGGGTATAGTGTAAACCGCATTGATGGTTCGTGGTGTTGGGGGTTTTGTCCTGGTTAGATCCTTTTTTGAAGTGGTGAAGCGATGGCGTCCTGGTGTTGTTGTTAAATACTTTTGAGCGTTTAGTGCAACCGGGGCTGTTGGGAAGAATTATAACTTTTTTGGGGAGCGGTGTTGATGCTGGAGAATTGATGATCTAAAAGGCTTTTTCTTGCAATCTTTGATGA